GGGGAAAAAACACTCTTAGAGTTTGGAAGTGAAACTTTATTGAACCTCAAATAAGCGCGCGCGGGGGTGTGGTGTATAGTGGCGTGGGATGAGACGGTGGGGGTCATATTTATGTGCATTTGTGATCATATTTCAGGATCTGTTATTGATTTGCTTTAACAAGCGAGAGACTCGGGGAAACACTTAGTGACGGCATACATGTTCAACTTTTTATTTCAATCCACCCAAAACCTGTGGCTGACCCTCCCCTTGACCTTTGACCTCCCCTTGCTTCACTATGGAGCACCTAGTCATTTATAGTTTTGTAATATTTAATTAGCCGAGACTTAAAATTGGAAAAACTCAAAACAAAATTGACAATAAATTATAACATTAAATTTCCTCATGAAATTATTTTTAGTTATAAAAACGGAGAAAATTAAAGTATTTGGATGATTTCATATAAATCTTTGTTTTCCCTGTCAGCATCCGCTAACCTGACGTAGTTAAAGAGACTCACCAGAGCCTCTGACAATTTGATTTGCATTGGAAAATTTTTAAAATGATGTTCTTCCCCTTAAGAAAGAACATATTTAAGCGTACATCACAGTGTGTTTGAAGGCATGCGCATGTGCTCAGAGAAATTTAAGCCCATTACACTGAGGTCTGTGGCCCTGCAGGGGTCCATGGGGGAGGTTTTATGGGGGACCCAAGCAAAATTAAATAAAGCATAAATCCTCTGAATTTTAGTTGATTAGAGTTTGTTAGTATTTAAAAAGGGATGGATATACTTCACATGCAAGGTGTCATTTAAAAAGTTACATCAATAATAATAATTATAGGAAGAAGAAGAAGAATAGAAAGCTCTCACATGGGCTTGTGCAGATTTAAAAAAAATGTGGGAACAGGGGAACAGAAGTCTGGTGTGTTCATTTTGGGGGTCCAGGACATGAAAACGTTTGGGAGCCCCCCCCGCCCTCGAGCCTCCACATGTGCAGATATTTGTTTGAAACTTTCCCTCCTGTTCCTCGCCAGCTGTTCCACATTTTATCTGCTCCTCTGCTCTCGGGTTTCATACAGACGACGAGGGTCCGAGGTGCTCAGCCATGCGGTGCAGCTCAAATCCTCCCTTTTTTTGTGAATGTGAGTGTTGTGTATGTGTGTGTGGGTTTTCTTTTTTCTTTTTTTTTGGCGCATGGCAAATTATTAACGGAGGTTTGGCTGCCTTGAGACGGAGCAGCGAGCGAACGCACGCGAAATAAGATGTTTAACAGGACACACAGATAAAAAAAATAAATCTCCTTTTGGGTGTTTTTTTATAAGCTTGCTCTCATCGTTCATCTTGTCTGAGCATTTGGCTTTGAGCGGGGCTTTTGCAGGTCTTGGTAACATTTGTCCAATAAAATAAAATAGGCACTGTCACATAAACTGTCATTTAATATTTCCCCCATTCTATTTTATTAATAATAACAAAATAACATTCGCAGAGCTGAAGCTGGAAAATTTACCACTGCACTCAGTTAAAAAATAAAAGCAGACAAGTCAGGCCTTAAAAATCTGAAAATTTTAGGCCTAAGCTTTATTTTTAAAATGACAACTTGAGGACAATTTGTAATTAAATTTTGTTTGCATGTATTTATGCATTTTTATGGCGTGTGACTTCTTAATTAAGCATTTTGAGATGATACTGGTAATTAAAAAAATTACACCGATAAATATTGTTCCCTGTATATCATCATAGGAGGCCCATGTCATTTTATTTTCAGTATAAGACATCACATTTAAATTTGACGATTAATCAACAATTCAGTGCTGATAGATCAAAATATGTAACATTTTTAAATGGTTAAATCAATTAAAAAATAATGGCTTCAATTTCTATAGTTACACAATAATCTAATGTATGTAATATATATTTTCCAAATATCTAATAAATAATAAATCATAAGAAAGGAAGTCCACCTTGTGAAAAATTGTAAAAGATAAATCTGCACACTGTCTGTGTGTATATCTAATTTTGCTGTTGCTGCTTTCACACGATACTATCTGAAAGTGGTGCACCTTTTCCAAATAAAGGACTTTGTCTCATTACAATGCAGCAGCAAGGATGAATGCAGCACTGTTTAAGATGCTAATCTTCTGGAATGAGATGCACAACTTAGAGCCATTCGCTTACTGTAGCCAGGAAAGATGTATCGTTGCCGCTCTGTGCTTCATAACTCCACGCGCGAGGAAAAGGCGGATAACGTTTCCCTCTGCAGGAATCGGTCCGTCAGATATCAGCGGCGGCGGCGGCAGCGTGCTGCTTTATCTCAACTTTAAAAATTTCTCTTTTATGCATGGGGACGTTGGCCGAGGACACCTGTGACCTGGTGACCTGGCAGAATAGGGGATGTCATGTTAATGCAGGGAGATGATGTGCTATTAGCTTTTGAGGTATGGCCTGCTCCTCTTTGTAAGGGCCTTATATTCACAGTTACAGGCAGTTTGTGTCCTCAGGCCTTTTTTGCCCTGTTGGAAGTATACCTGTTATCAGGTTTGTATGCAAGAAGCCCTAATGAGCTGTTTTGTTGTGCTAATGCCACGACCTGAAGCACTCAAAGAGGTGGCAAATGTTTTGTTAAAACGAGGGTAATGTGAGGGAAGTTGATTATCCTTTAGATAATGAGCACAGATGTGAGGGTTTTGTGTAATCGTGCTCACTTTGTGGGTTTTCCTGCAGGTTGCTGTTGGTTCGTTGATTTTTTTCCCCTCACTTTTTTGTACTTTTCCTAAAATTTCCTGAGAGGATAAAACTGACAGTTTCATTCTATGTAATAATAAAAATCAGCCCACATTGTGATTAGCTGTTGCTTTCCTTGCATACGGCTGGCGTAGTTGAATAGATGGCCCCCAAAAGAAATCTCTTACTCTCTTACTTTGATGATTTGGTACTTTGATATGTTGACATCAAATGAAACAGACACAGTGGGGAAAGAAAGAGGACAAGTCAGACAGAGGTAGTAATTGAGGGGAAAAAAAGGCTGTTCATGAGAGCGGGTGGAAATGTGTGTGTGTGTGTGTAAGTGCAGTTTGTGAGGCACGGAGGAGTGCTCTGAAAACTTGGGCTGAGACAGCAAACCTGAGGAGCGTCAAAATGTCTGGATGCATTTGCGTATGAGCAGAGACAAGAAGGGGTCTTCGGGTGTGCGAGGGCTTCTCCTTGGCCTCCTAATCCCCAGGCCCAGCCATCCCTTCAGGGCATGCCTCAGATCTGGCTCTCTGGCTCTGTGCGTGGACGACCCAGCTCCGCCAGCAGATTTAATATGCTATGTGTTCCTGCTCCCCCGGCTCCCCTCCACCTCAACCATCATTGTCCCAGAGCGGGACCCTCACTCGCTGTTTCAAGGAGCCTGCTAAAGGCACCTTTCAAGCCAAGGGGTGATGTCTTTGGATAAGGCGTATGGCGGGGAGGGAAAATAGTGATGAAGGCGATATGAGACTCGAGAAGGGAAAAATGTAATTTCACATATGTATATGACTCGCATTCAGGGATTGTAATTCACTTGGGTGTTTGCTAGCCAGCAAAAACAGTCGTACTCTGAGTGCACATTCATTCTCGTGCTCATTCACACTCTTATTTCTCTTTCTTGTTCTCTCATTCATACAGTTTTTTGTTTTTGTGTGTGTGCTGTTCTCTTTCTTACTGTCTTTTTTTTGTCTTCTAACTGCATGAAAAATAAAAAGGAAAAAAAAGTTGGAAAAGTTTTTTTTTTGCTATAGCTTTCGTCCTTTGGAAAGTCCATTTGCACCTGACAATTTGCCTCCCAGAGTGAGGTGAAGAAAACGGCAATAAAAAAAAATAGTGGGGGTGGGGAAACATTCACATAAATTTGAATCAAGTGGTTCGGATTTACGGTAGATGAAGCTGTGTTTGACAGCTCGACATAAGGCCTGCTGTAGGAGACGGTAAATTTTATTGCGGCAGAAACGCGGGCTTGTGTGCGAGGATCCAGTGGTGTGCCAGCTCGTGACTGGTGTTTTCTTTTCTCGCACACTTTGGAAGAGAAGCGGACAGGTCACGCCTGCGTGTGACTGCCGCTCATCTCCTCCTCTGTTTGCTGTAGCTGCTGTAAAAATGTCTTTAAGGCCGCCGTGTGAAGTGTAGCAGCGAGAGTTGAAGTGCTTTTAGTCCGGGGGCCCATTTGTTTGTGTGTAAAGTTTGTGCGCCTAAAGAGACAGTTTCCTGGGGCTCCGGGGCGGTGGCGGGTTTGGTGGGGGCTCTTTCTTAGTGCAGATGTGGCATTGTGTCAGCTTTGATGGGAGCCGGTTGTGGCATCCGTGAGGGGGTCTGTGCTTTCCTGTCAAGGGTGGCGATTGGGAGACAGATGAACTGGCCGCTTGCTGTGAACAATGATCCGTCACGTACCGCTGCTTCTTGACGTGTGGGGCTAGGCTGCACCGAGGCATCAGTTTGGGCACTAATTTTTTTTCCTCTGCCGTAACTGTTTAAACTGAGCCCTGTGTAGTGCATTTTGTTGCACAAAACACCTGCACTCACAGCAGTAATTAAGTTATGTGT